GCTATATACTAATTACCAGTGGTGTCAACAATGTAATACCAAACAATTTCAACTTGATTTTTCAAAGTGGACCAGTAAAAATGAATTTATTGATAAATTTATTCAAGAAGCACAACTAAATGCCAAAAATAGTTATGAAATTTTAGAATGGATACCCTATAATAAATTGTCAAATATTAATTATTATGATAAAGGAGGATTTAGTGAAATTCATAAAGCTATCTGGTTAGATGGACCTATTTTTAGTTGGAATTTTGATAAACAACAATGGAATAGGCAATTAAGCTATGAAGTTATTCTTAAAACACTTAATAATTCATCAAATTTAGATAGTAAATTTCTGAATGAGGTATATTGTTTATATTTATTGACAATTTTTTTTTCTTTTTGCAAAAATTAATTTTTTTATCATTTATACAGTGGAAATATCATTATAATTGTCAGAAAAAATCATTTTCAAAATTTATTCAATTTTTTGGATGTACCCAAGATCCAAATAATTTAAATTATATAATAGTAATGAGTTATGCAAAAAAAGGAAGTTTAAGAAAATGTTTATCTGATATAATTAAATTTAAATGGCAAGAAAAGTTACGATTATTGAAAAAAATTGTATTAGGGCTCAAAGTTATTCATGAATCAAATTTAACTCATGGTGATTTTCATGATGGTAATATTTTAATATCAGATAATTACAATGAGTTATTTATTATTGATTTAGGATTATGTAAACCTATAAATGATTTACAAGATTCTGACGATAAAATTAAAGAAATTTATGGAGTTTTACCTTATATGGCACCTGAAACATTAAGACGAAAACCCTATACACCAGCAAGTGATATTTATAGTTTTTCAATGATAATGTGGGAATTTACATCAGGTATTCCTCCATTTAGTCGTGTAGCACATGATCATCACCTTATTTTGAGTGTCTGTGAAGGGAAACGCCCTGAAATTGTTGAAAATACTCCAAAATGTTATATAGATTTAATAAAAAAATGTTGGGATTCAGATCCTTCCAATAGACCAACCATAACAATGCTCGAAGATATTATATCTGAGTGGGTTAGATGTATTAATGAATATTATGAAATAAACAGGGATGGAAATTATAAATATGAAGTACCTAATATTGATAATCAATCAGAAGATGATATGTTAGAATTTATAGAAGCAAACAAAACTTTAGTACAAGAGCAAGCAAATGCTTCTATTATACAATCTCATACACAAGCATATTATACAAGTCGTAAGCTTAGTGAAATCTTAGTTCAAGAAAAGTCTGATTGTTTTGAATGTATAGTTAAAATTTAATAATTCTGTTATTTATTCTTTATTTGTTGGACTATTTGTCAGGTATTATATTTCAATTTTTACTATAAAATAAATATTTAAATACAGATATAATAATTATCAAAATAATCTTTATTATACTTTTTATTTTTATTTGAAATATGTTATGTTTAATATTCATATCCATACTTTAAGATTAAAAACTTACCAGTATTATTTATTTAAAAAAATATTATAATTTTATTTCATAGACTATGGTTTCTTAAAATATAATCATAAAATTCATTTATTGAAGTTGTATCATTGATGCCATCTTTTAAAACACTTGGATTATTACTTATTTCTATTTTCTTTTTAATTAAGATTGATAAACTATATTTATTGTAAACAAATAGTTAGTTGGTGAAATTATATTTGGCCAATCCCTATAAAAACGAAATGTCTGATATTTGTATTTTTTTATCTAACTTTGTCTAAATTTTGTGTAAAAATTTATTATATTGTGCTTAAATAACTATTTAACTGTAATCGTATTGTATAATTTCCTTTAATTTCTTGTCAATTTAAATCATCTTTGTTGTCATACAATGCTTGAAATGCTTTATGTTTTATTGGATATTTTTTAGCCTAAATATAAATAAAAGAAATTATAAATATATTAATTAAAAAAGTATTTAAACATTTAAAGAAATTTTATACCTCATTTATTAAAGAATCAATGGATTCTTGTGAATTATGTAAACATTTTAGTGCAACTTTTTTATTTGAATCTCTTGTATAATTGCTCAAACTGTCCTGCTTATACAATGGACCATCCTTCCATATTGCTAAATATACTGTTATAAGACCATTTTTGCCTGTCTCTTTAATTTCATTAAACTGATCGTAAGGTATCCATTCAAGCACTATATCATCATAGTTAATAATTATTAATTGCCTTTCTTGAATGAAATCATCAATTTTTTCATTTCCACTAGTACATCCATTAAAATTAATTTCTAAATATTTCAGAATATTATTTGCCATCAAAGGTATATTTTGGGAAGACATTGTTTTTCAAAGCTCAAAATTTTTTTCAAATATTTATAATAAATTATGTCATAATAATATAATCACTTATGTAAGCATTACGTAATGGAGCTTCTTAGCATTATTCCGTTATCGATGTCGATCATTCCACAAGAATTATTCGAAACAAAGATTTTTCTGGTTAAATTTTTTGTAGTTCTTCATGCAATTTTTTTTTTAAATAATAAATGCATATGATACCTTGCATCATACATAATATATGTTTGTGAATTAATAAAGACCTCTTTAATATTTGAAAAATCTCACTTAAATCACATTGAAATATTGAATAACAAAGTCACTACATTAGAATTATGATAAAACTACCCTAACTCTGAAACTCTGGCCTTTTTGACTTGAGTAAATATATTACATTTATGTGAAAATATTCAATTTATATTGATTTTTTTTATCAATAATTAAATATTTATATTTTAACTGTAGAAATTAAATAAAGTAGGTATTATTTTCATAGTTACTAATATACAGCTAATATATAAAGTAATAAAATTTGCTTATTTTTATTAATTATAATATCATCATGTGATTGATTTTGTGAAATTTTTTACTTAAATTTTATAGATCTTGGGTGACATCTCACGAATTTGCCGATCATTTGATTGACGTTGTCACTTGTCAACATACGAAAAGTTTCATAATGAAACACAAGCTAGCATTATTCCAAAAATGTGATATATATTCTTTTTGCAAAAATCGAAATATTATTCTAATATAAATAGTGATTAAGCATTATTTATAAATCTCATATCATTAATTTCGCAGCAAAGATATAATAAATTTTGTAATTTTATAGCACAATTTAGAAATTTAATGGAATCAAATTTAATAAATTTGTGGCACATATTGTATATTAATTTGTGTTATTAATTTTGTGCTATAACTTATTAATTTTATATTAATTCATTAAATTCTCCGATATGGGCCGTTGCAAAAAGATTGATACCTCAGATATTGCATCGATAAAAAAAATTTTATTATGTAATTTTCTTTTTTTATTTAATAAATATTATCAGTATATATTGGGAAAGATATGATATAAATATTACGTTAAATCACGTGATCATCATCGGAACTACTATAAGCATCAAATTCGTCATCGGTAAATTATATGTTGATATGAAAAAAAACTCTTTCCCCTTTTTTACGTTTTGTTAATTTTCCGCAGTAATTTAGTGCAAGTTTTTTTTCTTTTTTTTTAGTTTCTATTTGAAACTCTAAAGGGGGAGAGGCCCATACGGGCGCCTCAGTCTTATACGAGGTTTTTAGTCCTTCAATATCCTATATTATAAAGGAATATGTCTTCCACACCTTTTATTGAAATAGACTGGTCTTCCACTTCACAACATTCGTATCCTCAACTCGGTGACTCTACACCACCTGAAACTGGCTCAGATGACATATTAGTTAATACTGAGCGGCCAACAGTACTTTCTGCTAAGGATATTCTTTCCCTTGATATTGACGATATTTATCCTTATACGTACTCAACTCTTCATCTTGAAGACAATGAAACGGAAGATTACTATGATGACGAAGACTATTTTGAACAACTATTAGAGGCTAATTTAAATGCCGA